GACACGAGCAGAAGTATCACATTCAAAACTGTGTTTCCATGAACAATTTTATTCCTGGGAGCTGTATAGCAGCAAGTAAGGGAATGCTATGCATTTTGAGAAGCTGTTTCCTTGGCTGCTTGGGGTTTTGTTGTAGTGTTTCAGGGCAGGCTTCTCAGTCATTGATTGAGCCTTAACTGCCAAGTTGAGAAGACTGTTTATCTATTCCTTGAATTCAGACTGGAAAAACCTCTAGCGTGTATTACGTCACTTTATTGTTCACTGGTGCATTCCCTCTCAAACCTTTCCTGTTGCCAAACCTCTACTGAGACTACAGTTCCTCTTCCCTCCCACCCCAAACCTTCCTGGGGCAGTTAGAAAGTAACTATAATTTAATTGCCTCGTTTTATCACATTTTAGTTTCCCAAGCATTATTATGTATGTTCAACAGAGTATGTTCTTCATTGACATTGCAGTACATGTTCATTGGCGAGTAAGAGGAAAACAATCTATATCTGGTATTATATAGTCTCCTCCGGTGCTGCATACAAACATACTGATGCTGAACTCAGTGTCAAATAACTGAATGAGTATTTTGAATGCTTAAATCAGGCACTTAATAAATTGTTACAGGTGTCAAAAAGCGGTGTAGGAAAATTGGCTGGATTTTTTGGTATAGATATAGAATTCAGGGTTATTTTTCCCAATTAAAATACTACCAGATAGGGGCACCTGGGTGGCTCGGTTGATTAAGCGATTAAGCATCTGCCTTCAGCTTAGGTTATGATCCCAGGGTCTTGGGATGGAACCCCACACAGGGCTCCCTGCTCAGCAGGGAGTCTGCTTCTCCCTCTCCCTCTGCCACTCCCCCTGTTTATGTTCTCTCTCTCTCTCTCTCTTTCTCTCTCGGTCTCTCATGCTGTCTTTCAAATAAATAAAATTTAAAAATAAAATAATAAAACAATAAAATAAAATACTAGCATATAGACTACGTCTAAAAATACTGGAACAGCATCTAACTATATCACTGAAATTGTTACCGAACATGTTTCCAGGAACGTCTCAGATTCAGATAAAGAGGAATGCAGGCTGTATGTAAAACAGCGAAGATATTGGCATTTCTGGCTCCTATTCGCTTGTGTCAGGTGCTGCCCAAGCCATCATCTTCAGCTCTGCACAGGCAAATGCTCCATCCCAGAGCTCCCGTGATCTGCATCTGATGCTGACACCAAAGAGGTCACAGCAGTGTCCCTCCCCCACTCCCCAGCCCCATAATGTGAAATGGCTTTGATTTTATATCTGCATTACTTTTAATCTGATTACTTAATCTGATCTGATATTGTAACATACAGAAGTAGGAGGATACCCCATATATCAATACTAAGGACATATAAGAAAGAGAACTTTTTAAAAAATAGTCTTTTGAAGGGGAATTATATAGATTTCTACTGCGTTTGAAGCAGTGTCAAGTGTGCTATTTGGATACTACTTTATTCAATCCTTTCAGCCACCTAAAAAATAGGTATTATTACTTCCACTTGATGGATCAAGAAACTAGGAATCAGAAACTTGCCCAACGCCACATGACACCACACTTCCTACATCAGGAAGGAATTTAAGACTACATAGGCTCAAAGACAGTTTGAACCAAAATTTCCATGGCTGTGTTCACTGTAAACTGAACAAATCATAGTTTATTTTCTTCCTCGTAATAATTTGTAGCTTCCAGGAAGAGTGTGTACCTGACATAAAGATTATATCAACTTGTGTACTTTATAAAGCATTTTCTCATATACCTTCACTGGTTCTTACAATAATTCTTAGAAATGAGGAAAAAAACTCAGAATCTGAAACAAAATTAAATGTATATTTTTCCAGATTATGACCACCCCAAGGGCAAGAATCTAGTTTCATCCCTTTTCTGCCTTTATCTGCTGGGGCAGATTGATTAGCAAAAATAAATACAATTCTTTCCTCACACCCGTTGCCCACTTTTGCATATTGACTTTTTCTCCTTTGATTGTGAAATTGAGCACACCTACAGAAAAGTATGTAAAATATATACAAGTTTAATGAGTAATTATATCTTGAAAATACATATAACCGCCGTCTAATTCAAGGAAAAGAGTATTGCCAGTGTGGAGGGAGCCGTCTCCCCTCCCCCATCTTCTGTTGCTTCTCCCTTATTACCCTGTCGCTCCCCACTGTGCTGTCTTTGAGGTCACCATTGCCTTGCTTCTTTGGATAACTTCACCATGGATTAGGGAAAACAATGTCCTTTAGTTTTGCCTACTGTCAGCCTTTATATTATGTACAATTTCCTTTTTGCCTAGCTTATTTTGCGTTATGTTTATAAGATTCCCACATATTGCCCCAAGTAACTATATTCTGTTCACTTTTACTATTATGTAATGTCTCATTTTATGAATGTACTACAATTTAAGTATATTTGTGGCCTTTCCAGTTTAGAACTATGACCTTGGCTTTAAGTACTCTTATATATGTATCCTAGTATACTTCTGTGGGCATTTCTCTAAAGCAAATTTTTGATCCGAGAACCTTACAATTTAAAAATTCAATAGTATTGAGATCTGAGACACCTAAAAACATCTCTTAACTAATTCTTTTAAAATAACAACAATAAACCTATTACATGTTCTAATAGACTGAGACAGCCATAATAAATTCCTACAAATGTGGTGAACTCAAACAACAGAAGTTTGTTCTCTCAGGGTTGTGGAAGCCAGAAGTCTGAAATTAAAGTGTTGCCAGGGTTGGTTCTTTCTGGAGACTCTGAAGGAGAGTGTTCCAGGCCTTTCTCCTAGCTGCTGGTAGGAGAAAGGCATTCCCTTGGCTTGTAAACATATGACTCCAGTCTCTGCTTTTGACTTCACATGGCATCATCCCTGTGTGTCTCTGTATGTCTCCAATCTCCCTCTCCTTTCTTTTGTAAAGACACCAGTCAGGATTTAGGGACACTCCTAGATTCAGGGTAATCTCAACTTGAGATCCTTAACTTGATTACTTATGCAAAAAACCGCCCCTATTTGCAAGTAAGGTCTCATTTACCAGGATGTGGAGTTAGGACCTGGACATGTGTTTTTTGGAGGGACACAATTCAACCCACTGTACATGTCAACACAAATAACACATTTTAAATGAAAAATAACTATATTTTCCAAATAAAAATTTAGTGATGAGTGACATTACTGTACATTTTTGCAAATCTCTTTTAAGATCTAGATTCATACAAGGAACTAGGTGCTCATCTGCTTTTACATTCAATCCATTATCTGTTGTTTTGGTTGAGATGTATGATGAAGAAAAGCCTCAACACAGATCATTTCAGACCCTCAGGGGGTTTCAGAGACTCCCGTGGGTCTTTGGGGGGCACATTCTGAGAAGCACTGCTCTAAAGTATACACTTTAAAATGTACGCAAAGCAGAATTTCCAGGCATATGTATATACCTCCTGCTTTATTATGCCACACTGTTTGTGGTTTGTATCACTTTACAAGTCTACTAGCAGTGTATGAAGGATCTTGTGGCTCTACACATCTGGTATTGTTACACTTTAAAAATGTCACCCATCCGGTTGGGTACTTGGCCAAAGTCAATAGTTAGAAAACAGAACCCATGTTTCCTACTTTGAAATTCATTCTTCCTTCCTCCACAGACACAAATATTGCTTCTGTTTCTGGCCCAGTTATCAGAAAGGTGCAGTCACCTCCAAATCTTATCTTCTCAGGGCTCCTTTCCCTACTGTGGAGGCTTTGGGCACTCCAGGCCACCGAGGTCCTGCATCTCCTCCTTACCAACACCCCCTCACCCCCCCCCCCCCCGGCCTCTACACCCACCTCCTTCACTCCTTTGACTGTTTCCTACCCAGCTCCCTCTATTTACTTCTCATAAAGCCCTCTGCTAATCATCTTCAAGGGCACGAGCTCATCATAGTCATCAATTAAAAAATGGAATGATACCTAATTCGTCTTTATATGCACAAGAAAATGTATCGTTTTTTTTAAGATTTTATTTATTTATTCCTGAGAGAGAGAGAGAGGCAGAGACACCGGCAGAGGGAGAAGCAGGCTCCATGCACCGGGAGCCCGACGCGGGACTCGATCCCGGGTCTCCAGGATCAGGCCCGGGCTGCAGGTGGCGCTAAACCGCTGCGCCACCCAGAGATCCCTGAAAACGTATAACTTAAGAAATCAACACCTCTTAGTTACTATTAGTATTTTTACCTATTTTTTTTTGACCTACTATTTTTTAAAGCCGCCCGACAAAAACCAGAGTGTGATCACAAAAACCATCGACCTCTACCTTTTGGATCTTCAATTTCCTCACAGGTAAAGTAGGTGTGATAATACCCGACTCGCGAAGGATCAAAAGACTTGTGTGACACGCCTAGCACAGTGCCCGACGACAAGGAGGGCTCCAGTGATGTCTATTTTTATCTTAAAAAAGCTGACTTAGTGCCCACTCTGTCAAAGAAGCAAGGTACTTTTTGCAAGTCCTGAAGCCTTGTAACGACCCTCTGGGTTACGCAGTATTCTCATTTCACAGATGCAGAAGTGCAGCTCAGAGGTCACACAGCCAGCGAATCGCACAGCAGGGATTAAAATGCCTGCAACTGTAGCGGTCCCAGAATTCACACTCACGGTTAAACCGCTCACCCAGATATTTGCTGTTACTTACGAGAAAGCTGCCGGCTCTCAACAACAAAGCGCCCGGCCACCGGGCACCAGCCCCCGGCGCAGAACGCGCTCCCCGCCGCGCCCTCGGGGCGCCCTCCCGGCGGGCACCCGCGGCGCAGCACGCCCCGCCTCTACCCCAGCAGGCCGCGCCCTTCTCTCCGGCCGCGCCCCGCCCCGCCCCGCCCCGCCCCGCCCCGCCCCGCCCCGCCACGTTCCCGGCGATGGCCCCGCCCCCCGCCCCCCGCGCCGACGCGAACCGAGCGGACGTCTCGCGAGCTTCCACGTACACACTCCAACGCCTCTCCCCCAGCGCCGGGGGAGAGCACATCCGGGTTGCGGGAGCAGGTGCCTCCGGCCCCGCCCCCTCTCGCCAGGCTTTCGCCCCACTTCCGGCCGTCTCCGGCCTTTTCCGCCCGTAGCCTGCCGGCTTTATCTCTGCGCTGTGGGTCGTTGGTGGCGCCGGGCCCTGGTCCCTTCGCACCGCTCGCCGGCGCCCGGCGGCTCGCCCCCCCCCCCCGTCCCGAATCCCTCCGAGGCTCGGAGCGACTCTGCCGGGCGTCTTCGCGGGCCTCCCGGGGCCGAGGCCTGCCGCGCGCGGGGCGTCCGCGCAGACCCGACCCCGCGTCTCCCCGCAGCTCCGTGGAGGCCGCCGCCGTCGCCTCGGGATGCCGGGGCCGGGGTCCGCGCAGCGCTGGGCGGCCGCCGCGGGCCGTTGGGGCTGCAGGCCGCTCGCGCTGCTGCTGCTGCTGCCGCTGCTGGTGCCGGGGCCCGGCGGCGCCTCGGAGATCACCTTCGAGCTGCCGGACAACGCCAAGCAGTGCTTCTACGAGGACATCACGCAGGGCACCAAGTGCACCCTCGAGTTCCAGGTACTCCGTGCTCTGCAAGCCTGGGGCCGCCGCCCGCTGGCTGACTCCCGCCCGTCTAGGTTCTTCCGTTCTTTGGCTGAGCCCGGAGTCCCCTCTAGCGAGCTGATGTGGGGCGTTTGCCTTTCCTGTTCTAAACGTGGGGCGAGAGCCATTTTAGACCAGATAGGGAAATACGTGAATTCCAGAAAAGCTTGGTGTCGCTGTGACTTCTTCCCTCCGCGCTCGAGTGCCCTTCACTTGAGCGCCTGTTGAACTTTCTCCTTACAAGACTCTCCTTTTAACAAAAGTTCCTGTTGCCTGGTGCTCAGTGTCCCGGCCGTTCCTCTCACTGATTCCACACCTCCGCTCTGATCAGATTGGAAGTACTGCCGATACCTCATTCCACTGCTTTTCACTTTCTCCGTTGATGCTATTAGGACTTTGGTTGGTTCTGTCCCTGTCACAGGAAGAGCTCCCCTCGAGGTTGAATGACCGACCACCTGCCAAAGGTGTAGAACGAAGAGCTGTGATGGATGAGAGGCCCCTTTTCGTTTGGGGGATTTTATAGAAAACAAATTTTCTTTCTTTCCTTTCTTTTTCCTTCAAGATCTTTATTTATTTACTCATGAGAGATAGAAGCAGGCTTCCCGTGGGAAGCCTGATGCTGGACTCGATCCCAGGACCCTGGAATCACAACCTGAGCCAAAGGCAGACGCTCAACCACTGAGCCACCCAGGCGTCCCAGAAAACAGACTTTAATGGAATGTAGTTTCTTAGGTGTGTGAAACACTCTTTGTTTCCATCTTTCTTGGTAGCTGACTTAACATATCAGAGCAGCTGCTGAGTGGTAGGTGCTGATGATACAAAAGTGGTTTGAGTGGTTTTTTAGGTCATGCCATCTTTGATGCCCACCCATGGTACCCTTTTTTTTTTTTTTTTTTTATTAAATTAATTTTTATGGTGTTCATTTACCAACATACAGGTAAACACCCTGTGCTCATCCCGTCAAGTGTACCCCAGTGCCCCGTCACCCATTCACCCCACCCCCACCCTCTCCCCCTCCACCACCCCTAGTTCATTTCCCAGAGTTAGAAGTCCTTTATGTTCTGTCTCCCTTTTCATATTTCTCACACATTTTCTTCTCCATTCCTTATATTCCCTTTCGCTATTATTTCATATTCCAAATGAATGAGAAACATACACCGTTTGTCTTCTCCGGTTATGTGGCCAAGTTCAAAAAATGTGTTGCTGAGTTCTCCTCTGGGATTTTGATGGAATCTTGTTCACATTTAGATCTTTCATCCATTTTGAGTTTATCTTTGTGTTATTGGTGCAGAGGTGGGTCTGTTTCATTATTTGCAATGTGGATGTCCAATTTTCCCAGCACCATTTATTGAAGAGACTGTCTTTCTTACAGTGGATGTCTTTCCTCCTTATCGCATTTTAGTTGAGCATAAAGTTCTGGGTTCACTTCTGGGTTCTCTCTATTCTGTTCCATTGTCTATGTGTTGTTTTTGTGCCAGTACCTCAATGCCTTGATGAACACGCTTGTGTTACAACCTGAAAAATTGGCATTGCGATGCCCCAGTATGGTTTCTTTTTTAAAATTCCCCTGGTGTTTGGGGTCTTTTTCTGAGTCCACACAAATCTTAAAATAATTTGTTCTAAGTCTCTGAAGTAAGTCATGGTATTTTGATAGGGATGTGCATTATACGTGTTAAATTGCTGGGTAACATTGACATTTTCAAATATTAATTCTGCCTATCCATGAGCAAGGGAATACTTTTCCATCTTCTTTGTGTCTTCCTCAATTTCTTTCAGAAGTGTTCTGTAGTTTTTAGGGTATATTTTGAGAAACCATTTGATGGTAAATGGTTCTCCCCTTGTATTTTCAGGTTGTAGGATGTCCTTCTGTCTAAAATGAGTCTCTTGGAGACAGCAAATAGATGGGTCTGGTTGTTTTTTATCCAGTCTGAAACTTCTGCGCCTTTTGAATGGGGTCATTATGCCCTATTACGTTCAGAGTTACTAGACTTCTTTTAAATGGGAGTTTTAAGAGTCCCCCTTAAAATTTCTTGCAGAGTGGTTTGGAGGTCACATATTCTTTCAGTTCCTGCCGTTCTTGGACGCTTCTTTATCTCTCTTCATTTTGAATGTGGCCTTGCTGGCTAAGAATAATTCTTGGTTGCATGTTCGTCTCATTTTGGACCCTGAATATATCCTGCCAGCCCTTTCTGGCTGCCAGGTCTCTGTGGAGAGGTCTGCTGTTACCTAATATTCCTCCCATGAATGTCAGGGCTTCTTGTCTCTTGCTGCTTTAAGGATCTTCTCTTTATCTTTGGAATTGCAAGGCTTCACTATTAGATGTCGAGGTGTTGAACGGTTTTTATTGATTTTAGGGGGGATCTCTCTAATTTCTGGATCTGAATGCCTGTTTCCTTCCCAGATTGGAAAGTTTTCAGCAGGATTTGTTCAAATACATATTCTGGCCTCTGTCCTTTCGGCGCCCTCGGAACCCCAATTAAACGTAGGTTTTTTTCCTCTGGCTGCGTTTATTTGCTTAATCTGTCTTCTGGTCCTTCAATTGTTTGATCTCTTTTTCCTGTTTCCTCTTTGCATTACTTGTTTTCTATGGCATCTCACTCGTTCTTCCACCTCGTTAACCCTCGTCGTTAGGACTTATAGTTTGGATTGCATCTCATTCAAATTGATTTAATTTCTGCCTGATTGGATCTAAATTCTGGCAGTCATGAAGTCTCGTGAGTCCTTAATGCTTTTTTCTAGAGCCACCAGTGCTGTATAAGGTGCTTTGAATTGGCTTTCTGACATTGAAGTGTAATCAGATTTTGTAACTCTGTGGGAGAGAGGCTGTTTCTGAATTCTTTCTTTTGAGTTGAGGTTTTCCTTCTGTCATTTGCTCAGTGCAGAGTGGCCAGAAACAAGTTGTATTGGAAACACGGGGGAGAGTATCACTGGTCTGTCAGTGTCTTTGGGGGAGGGGCCTGCCTCTTGCGATGATTCTCATGGTGTTAGCACTTGGGGAGCTGCTCTGCCCCTGCCTGCTGCAGGGCTCTGCGGGGGTTGTTTACCCGCCAGCCCCAGGAGGAACATCAGAAGTTGACTATGGCAACTCTGGAAGCCTGGATTCAGCCTCCGCAGGAACCTACGGGGCTCGGGCTCTCGGGCTCTCCGTACGCAGGGCCTGGAGGCTCCGGGCGGGCGCTGATTGCTCAGCTCGGGGCAGGGTGCGTCCTCGCTGTCTCGGGCCCTCCCGGCCTCTGCCTGTCCGGGGGAGGCCGGATGTGGGCTCGGTGTCCCGGCGCACTGTGCTCCGGGCCTGCGCTGTTGGATTCGCGCTCCGCTGGCTCCTCCTGGATGCCGCTCCCGAGCCCCTCCGAAGCTTGCTCCGAGCCCCTCAGAGCTGCTGACGGTCGGTCCCTCCGTGCGCGCGAGCTGCAGCCCTTAGGGAGCTCGGCGCCACTCTCCGGGGCGCAGGGTGTCTGTTAGTGTCCCCGGAGCCCGGGAGGGCATCCGCTCTCCTGGGTCCTGACTCCAACTCCCTGCGGAGTCCTTTCGCCCGCCCGGGAAGGTTGGTGCAGGCTCCTGCTCCTCCGGGACGGGGTCTCCTCCATTGTACCCTTTTAGTTGGTACTGCTCATTCATTGAAACTGTGCCTTAAGGGCAGAAAATAGGGAGTAAGCAGTCTGATCTTTGAGATCAATGAGGGCTTCCTTTAGGAAGTTATAAAGGATCAGTGGTAAATGCTTTGGTATGGGGAGTGCAGGAATACCCATTGCAGGAGTGACTGGGTATTTGAGGACCATCGAAATCCAGTATAGTTGGGAATAAGGAGTCAGAGGGAGGGGAGGTCAGGGGCCAGACCATGTGCCATGCTGGCCTAGTTAAGAATTTTGGTTTTTCATAAGAGCATAGGAAAGCCGTCAAAGGGTTGTAAGCAGTGCAGTGCTGAGATCCAGGTACTTTGGGTAGCTAGATGGATATTAACTTGTGCGAGTAGAGTGTGTGTTAGAGTGTTGGAAGAGTAGCTGAAGAAGACTGATGAGGAGACTACTGTAGTTGTCCAGGCTTCTAGCGTGGTAGCTGTGAGGAAGGAGAATGTGAAGGGGGGGATGCCTGGGTGGCTCAGTGGTTGAGCATCTACCTTGGGCTCATGTGATCCTAGGGTCCTGGAATCGAGTCCTGAATCGAGCTCCCTGCAGGGAGTCTGCTTCTCCCTATGCCTGTGTCTCTGCCTCTCTCTGTGCATCATCAATCAATCAATTATACATACATACATGCATTAAATAAATAAATAATATATAAATAAATCTTTAAGAAAAAAGTAAAGGGATTGGAGAGAAGTTAGTAAGTGAAATCAACAGGACCTCATGATGATTTGGCTATTGGTAGTAAAGAGAGGGAGGCTACAGATCACCCTTCAGTTTGTTTAACTTCACGGACTGGAGCCATGGACAGAAAAGAAGAGAATAGGAATTGTAATATAAAAATATGAGTGTATTTCAGGTGTCAGCATCAGACACTGTGCTTGGTGCTGAGGATACTACCACTTCTATTCTGGGCTAAAAAAAAAAAATAGCATCTGTTACGTAGCAGACAGTATGCTAAGTATTTCAGGTATGTTACTTAATTCTCAGGACAACTCGATCTAGGAAATAGATGTAGTACTTCTGTTTTACTTATGAAGCTGAGGCTTTGAAAGCTTTAAACCCAAGGTCACAAAACTGAGCAAGTAGCAGAATCAGTATGCAGTCCCAGAGTAAATTCTTAATTTCTTTATTATATGTACCACATCACAGAGATGTTGCCGTGGGAGCAACTGAACTTGCCCTCTGGGAGCTTCCATGAACACACATGCAGTGTTCAATGCAACAGCGACAGTGCAGGCTGGGTACAGTGCTGGCCAAACAGGGAGGGATCGTCAAGGGAAAGGTGGCTGAGCTCATGTTTGAGCTTTGTCTAGGAGAAATAGGCATATTTCTACAAGATGGCATAGGGGAAAGGGCAGCGTAGGCAAGTAGATGATGTTTATGAGACTCCGTTCCTGAAAACAGCTTGAGCCCATACCGAGATACAGTGAGTAATAGTGCCGCTTTGTAACTGTGGGTCCAGGGGCTTTAGAGGTTTGTCAGCATTGTTAATTGGTAATAGTGATATTGATGATTTACACCTGGCCTTGGTGACGCCCTGCCTGCCCCCCCCCCCCCCCCAGTGCTGTTGAGACTGGTTATATAGCAGGAATACATGTGACTAGCCAGATAGAAAAAACCCAGCCAAGCCTCAATTTGGGGCTTCCTAGTTGCAAGATGTTTCTTGCACACTTGGGTAGTTCACAGTCTGAGAGTCTGTCTGGCTCAATCTCCAATCTTCACAGAGGGAGCACAGAGGAACCCACTCCTAACCTCCCAACCTCTTTCTGTAAGACAGCTTTTGATTCTGATAGTTTATATTCTTTTCCTGTAACAAGCTGTAGATTTGTAAGCATTATCATTTTGGGTCCTGATTCTGTAGCAGACAAGACCTGTTTAGCCTGCTGCTGTTCGTACAGGTGTAAAACAAAGACTGGTTCAGAGAACTTCTGGCAGTCTGCTATTTTTGGAACACAGAGTAAGAGAGGTGAGGCTTGCTTGAAGGAGTTGCAGAGGAGTGGTACAGCATTGTTAACAGGTTTGGATTTTTCTGTAGGCCACGGGAATTGTGAAAGGTTTTAAGGGGATGGGGAGGTGGGGAGGTTGCCCCTCCTCCCCCAGACACGTGAGGAGAGGTGGCGCTACTGACATCCAGAGGATGGAAACCCAAAAGGCTGCTGAATGTGCTGCAATGCACAGGGCAATACAGCCCCCTACCACAAAGAATTATCCAGCCTTATGTTAGCTGAGGCTGAGAACCCCTGGGTTAGAGAGAAGAGAGATCAGGTTGTGGGAAAACCTTTTAGGAAGCTGTGGCTTTAGTCTTGTCTAGACTGTGGATTAGGAATGGAAGAGATGGCTGAATTTGAGAGAGGTGGTAATGTCAATGTGAGAGCTGGACAGTTAGGGACACTTAGTTCAGGATGATTCGTGGTCTCTAATTTACGTGACCAGACAGATTATGAAGGCTTCTCATTTTTATCTGAAATAAGATGATTTGTTTTAAAGGTTGATGGAGGAAAAGTGACATGGTGATCAGTTCTGCTCCTGTTCAGTATGTGTACATATTTGACCATTCAGAGTACAGCAGCCAAGCGTGAACACTTGGGTATATAAAAATGAAGTCATGATCTTCACCCAGAGGAAAGGTTGTTGACATTTGGAGAAGTGGTAAATGCCCAATTGTTAGGACACATTTTATGTCGAAACATTATATCCATATGTTAATATTTACATATTTTTGCAGCTTCCGAAGTACATAATTATATTTCATTTAATTATCAAGGTGATCTGGTGACATAGTACAGTTGTTCATCCTGTCTCCTAAGTGACAAAAGGTCACATTAGCAGCCAGTCCTTTGAGGTGCAGTTTGATCTCTGTTCTATGGACCTAGTAGAATGTCAATACTATGCTAATGGAAAGAGTTCAAGCCTGAAAGTACAAACTTGTGGCCTTCCCCCATCTCGGAGTGGTTGGGAACCCTCTGAACCACGAGTCTTTTCCTCACATCTTTCCCAGCTTTTCACCCTGGGCCTTTTCCTTTCCTACCTGTCCCTCCCTCCCTCTCCCCACTTTTCTCCCTGACTACTGCACCTGTCCCTGCTACCTCAGGAGAGATCTCCCTCTGCTTCTTCTGTGCAACCCAAGTGGCCTATAAATTGTAAGTGATTAAGCATAAGCGCTTGAAAACAGCTCTAGAATCCTCTTGAGAACATTTCATTTGTCCCCTGGCTTTCCTTTCAAATGTGCTTGCCCGAAAACAGAAGCTCTCCAGATAAGCAGAAGATGTGTTTGCTTTTGTTTTGTCCGGTTTTGTTTTTGCTTTAATCACAAGTATACAAACAATATGGTTTAGTCCTTGATGTTTCTCAGGGAAACAAGCTTATTAAAATAATGGTAATACTCTTAGACTAGCCCACAAGTCTGTTCAGCTCATAATGTAGTTCAAAACAAAATATGTGTCACATTCCATGTAACTGACCTATAGCATCACTGAAGAAACAAATCTGACTGTAATTTGGCAATCAAATGAGTTAAAGTTCTCTGATAGAAACATGCTTGGGGTGTTAAGCCAAGGACTGACCTAATTCACCACTTCACCACACTGTGCGTGTGTGTGCTTGGATGGTGCTGATACGAAACTAGGAGAGAACATTTGGGGAGGGAAAATATTCCAGACGATGAGCTTAAGGGTCGTGAGTATGACTTTGGAATTCAGGTTCTGCCTCCGCCTTTTGCTAGATGAGCAGTCTTGGGGAGGTTGCTTATCTTAACTCTGTTTCTCAGTCTGTGAAATGGAGGGTGAAAACCCTCTCTTGTAGGGTCATTGGGCAAAGCAATTGATGTAAGAGACCTCCCTTAATTAGAACAGTCGTCTGGCTGATTAGCTAGTTCCCTCCTTCCGGTCATGAGGAAATTTGTTCAGTTTCTATAAAGCTTTAGTTAAACGGACATGTGCCTCTTACATTCCATCCACTGCTGGAAATTAAAAAATGTAAAATTGCCTGTGATAGGAAAGTCTGTTGCCCATAGCCTTATTGTTATTTTAAGAGGAAATTTGGTTACTCTCTCAAACTTGTTACTTGCAGTGATATCTTCCTTTTTCCTCTCTCTCTTTATAGGTGATTACTGGCGGTCACTATGATGTAGACTGCCGATTAGAAGATCCCGATGGTAATGTGTTGTATAAAGAGATGAAGAAACAGTATGATAGCTTTACCTTCACAGCCTCCAAAAATGGGACATACAAATTTTGTTTTAGCAATGAATTTTCTACTTTCACACACAAAACCGTGTATTTTGATTTTCAAGTTGGAGAAGACCCACCTTTGTTTCCTAGCGAGAACCGAGTCAGCGCTCTTACCCAGGTAAATAAAAAGTCAGCGATATAGTGGTGTGGTTGAAGAGGGGGAAAGCATAAATTAATATGCATTCACTATTGATGAACACAGAATTTTGAGACTTTTACACAATTTTTAAGATCTATGTTAATTCTTACAATAGATTAAAAGCATTTCACAGAGAACTTGGGGCATGTTTGGTAAAGACCACCACTGGGGATCCCTGGATGACTCAGCAGTTAAGTGCCTGCCTTTGGCCCAGGGTATGATCCTGGAGTCCAGGATCGAGGCCCACATCAGGCTCCCTGCAGGAAGCCTGCTTCTCCCTCTGCCTGTGTCTCTGTCTATCTCTATCTCTCATGAATAAATAAATAAAATCTCTAAAAAAAGACCACCGTTAAAAGAGTTTATGAACTTTTCAGTTTGAAGAAAATAGCCTTAAAATAGGAGGATCACTTCAATGGGAAAGAAGTTGAGGAATACTGCATAGTGCTCCGGCATTCTGAAACATTTGTTTCTAGTTCATGGAGGAATGTGAATTCATAGCCTGGCAGGTTGCTATAACTGGAAACAAAAGAATGCCTTTAATGATAAATAAATATGCCACAGGGTAGTGTTAAACCAGGATTTAGTGTTAATTCACGCTGCTATTAGAATAATGTTTGATGTAACTCAAAGTAAAATACTAATGATTAGAAGTAAGTCATCTAACAAATAGTTAAAGGGCACTGGGGGGCTCGGTTGGTTGGGGTGGTTAGCTCTTGATTTCGGCTCAGGTTGTAATCTCAGGTCTTGGGATAGAGCCCTGCATCAAGCTGCATGCCAGGCGGGATGTCTGCTTAAGGACTCTCTCTCCCTCTGCCCTTCCTCTATAAATAAACAAACAAATAAATAAATACATACATACATACATACATAAATAAATCTTTAAAAAAAATAATTAAGGTAAAGGTAGATTGGATTTTATTTTGAGGAAGACCTTAATGACAAAAAGATAAGGAAAGAAGTTCGAAGTCAATGAACAGATGCTGCTCAGGTGATAAAAACAGCTATTTTATTTCCAGTTTTAATATAGTCTGAGCTTAGATTGTATCTAAAAGATACTCAATATCCAGAGGAATCACTTTTAATCCCCTTTTGTTAGAACCTTAAATTAGGTATTACATTGTTCCTGGGTTCTAGTTAGTCTGTTGGCAAAGTCATGTGGTGATAGAGGCAGTTTTTAATAATATGTAAGAGCCTTAATTGATAGACCTACTGTGAGCATTAGCAGGATGTATTCACTTGCTCTTACTTTCAGAAATGTTCTCTTATGTTAGCATCCGGTATGAATGGCACTTTGCTTTGTAAAAAGATTTTTCATTGGGACCCTTGATTATAACTTAACCTTTGTGAGTTTTAATTGTATAAGAAGGTAGCTTACCCTAAAAAACCTTAATAGGTAAAAGGAATGAGTGGTAATAAAGCAGTTAGTATCTGTTAATCTCCTTTATTAATATCACATTTCTTTACTTTAGGCTTATTTTTCTCCTTAGCTAATAAGTCGCTGTGGTAGCGATACTTACAAAGCAGCTGTTCACACCTTAAAGTAGAGAAAATTACCAGCTGGTAAATGCAGAAAAAGTATAGAGTTGTAAATCACCATTTTTCACCTATTAATAAAATAATGGATCTAGGGTAGACTGTGATAACTGGTCACTGCTAAAACCCTAGGTGAAAGGCTGAGGAGGAGATTTACAGTGACTGGATCAGACCAATATCACCTAAATCTAAAGACTGTTCCAGATGGAGAGAGAACGGGGCATTGTGTATCTTCTGATAATATGTATTATTGAAGTATGCAACATTGCCCAGGAGGTGTTCCTACCCAGAGCATTACATCTGAATTCCTTCAAGTCTCTTGCTCCAACTAGCAGTGGATAAGAAAAACATAAGATGGAGGAACACCGTGAAGATACAGTCAGGAGAATCTAGGAAGTGGAAATGCAGCAGGACAAAGGACCCGGTTTCTTCAACAGATGGGAAGGGAATAAGCAGGAAGAGAACCTAAAGATTCAAAGAGACTTAAAAGACACATCAACCAAATGATTGTGTCAAAGTTGTTTGGATTCTGATTTGGAAATAACTTTTGAAATATTTGGGGACATTTGAACATTATATTGAAAACTTTAATTAAATATTTTTTATTATTTTATATGTTGATAATGCTACCGGGGTTATAGTGTTGCCTTTCAGAAATAATTATAAAGTATAAGAGTATTACTGAAATGGTAACACACCAGAGAGTTGCCTTAAGTTAATTGCAACAGGGAGGAAAATAGGAAAATACATATCGGTGAAACAAAGTTAGCCATCCGTTAATTACTGACATGACCCCTCATTGTACCGTGCTCTTCTGGACATTGCCACCTAGAGTTTCCCTTTTTCCCTACATTTTCTTTTCTTTTTAAAGATTTTATTTCTTTATTCATGAGAGACACACAGAGAGAGAGAGGCAGAGACATAGGCAGAGGGAGAAGCAGCCTTCCTACAGGGAGCCCGATGTGGGACTCCATCCCAGAACCCCAAGATCATACCCTGAACCAATGGCAGACACTCAACCACTGAGCCACCCAGGTGCCCCCTGCCTACATTTTCTATCTCAAAAATCATATACATCCATGCAATTAGTCCCTTAATTTCTATCATTTTCTTTCATCCAGCACATCTTAACCCTTACTCCATGTTGGGCTTCAGGGAATTGTTAAACATTTCAAATTTGTGTCCTTTTATGCATACTTCCAGGGTTAGCACGCATACCACTTTAAGAATGCATAGAAAGTAGAGATCTGCCAGAAGCACCTCTGTAGCCTTCTACAACAAATTAGAAACATTCATTATGGAACAGTTTTGTTAATCTTTGCTTCATAGGGACCTAAACAAAAGGAAGAACAGCAAAAACGTGAATGTTCTAACAGATCCATGCAGTTTATGGACCACATAATTCTCACTTTCTAGGTGTATTTTAATGGAATATTTTTATAAATGATTGCTTTCGTACTTACTTTGGTAGAACTTTATTAAATGCTTGAATTCTTTTCTAGTGTTTATATTCCTTCACTAAAATTAAGGAAAAAAATATTCCCAGAATCTTTTGAGAGATTCTGTGGATTTATTAGTAAAAAGAGGAAAAAAGTTGTAAAAGTCATAAGCACTTTAGGAGAAATGGGTCCACATAACTTTGTGACGTAGAGGTCTTATAGTGACTGAGTTGGCTTAATGAGTTTTGGCATCCAAAAGGAGAGAGAGAAGCAGAAAGGAACATTGGAAGATTTGCTAAGATAAACTTCATTTCCTGGAGAATTTTCAGAATACAGGAAAGTAGTTATGTTGACATCTTTCTCCCCTGCTTTCCACCCTCAGTGGCCCTCATCACTGTGCTGTGTCATAAAAATATTTTTCCTTTGTATGGCCATACACAAATATGTCAATAGTTCCTTTCTTAATGATAAGGAAAAAAACACTTAGATTATTTTAAAAATTCTTAACACATGGTTTGTGATGGAGAATAAGTATAATTTAATGATAAAGTATATATTTCATCACTAGGATTTTTTCAGCAGTAGAAAAATAATAAACTCTGATGTATATACAAAAAAAAGTTTAGACACTTAACCTTTCTGAAAGCAGATCGTGTGATCAATGTGTAAAAAGGTAAGGTGCCACCTGGTGAAGGCTCAGACTGATGACACATTGAAACTGAAACTTCCATCCTGTTGACAATAGTTCTGTTGGTTTGGTTGATGGCAGGAGAGGGGAGACTTATTTAGCAAATTGGTAAATTAAAACATGAAAGACATTGATGCTCTGACCTATCATGCTCAGACCCAAGTACTTTTAAAATAGTTAACTTTGACTAATTCAATCTTGTTTTGGTGTCCTACTTGGTTTATTCATGTAGGTATTTGGGCTTTGGTTTGTATTCTTCTTATCCATCAAATTTACTGACCTGCCATTGTCTTCCTCCTAATTTTTCCTGGTTGAGGAACCTGAACTTGAAACTCTGTAACCGCCAACCTTAACTAGAAAATGTTTCTGCAACTGTTAGCTTAACGTTTCATCCATCTAGTTAGGATCTTACAGGTGCTGCAGCTATGGCTTCCCAAGTTGGGGGGCAAGTCATCCCAGTGAGGCCGAACAGGAGTGTGGCATTGCCAGGACCACAGGCATACATGAGTAAATGAGCAAGTGCCGGCTGAGTAGTGTGTGCCACTCAGAGGAGGCATTGAGGTCAAATTGAAAGATCAATTGGACATACTAACTGGAACCATTTCTTTTTAGATGGAATCTGCCTGTGTCTCCATTCACGAAGCTCTAAAGTCTGTCATCGACTATCAGACTCATTTCCGTTTGAGAGAAGCTCAGGGCCGAAGCCGAGCAGAAGATCTAAATACCAGAGTGGCCTACTGGTCAGTAGGAGAAGCACTCATTCTCCTGGTGGTTAGCATAGGGCAGGTATTTCTCCTGAAAAGCTTTTTCTCAGATAAAAGAACCACCACAACTCGTGTTGGATCCTAACTACGTTTTGAGAATTGATGCACCATTGCCACCATACTATTGCTGTCCTCTAATTAATTTTAGGTACTGAAGAACTTAACATTGGCAACATTTTTAAACCTTACTCATACACTTGTTGGGGGGGGATGTACAGTGCATATCCCCAAACTGTGGAAAGGACACCTTTTTTTTATTTGTAAAGGTAGAAAAACTTCAGAACTTATTTTGGGCTATTCATGTTAAATAGTCAGCACCAATGATCTTTTCTTGGTTGTTTGTATCTACTCTTCGCACACTAAACTTTGGTATTTTGATTCCTTTTAGCCATTTAACAGTACTTGTCTTATAGGTAGTGGATATTTTAAAAACCTTCAATTCAATGTCTGTGTGTTGTGGAGGAAGAAAATTGCCTTTTAATTGTTTATAGTAAAGTTCTGTTTTTCTGAAAACCAAATGTGATTAACTGTAGCCCAGGCCCTATTCTGCACTGTTTAATTTGGGGGTGGGGGGAGCCACCATGGAATTGTTAATTAATATTGATATAATTTTAAATTGATGCATCATGGTATAATTTATTTCTTGCTAGCTTGGAAAATGTCAGATTTTTGGTTTTTTGTGTTTGTTCTATGATTTATAAGCAGATATGTTCTTTTTTTTTTTTTTCATGAAGATATTCTTACCACATGGAAAATAGTATGTTTCAATAGCATAACAGTTTATGACAGGCCTTAAAAATCAGACTGTTAAAAGAGGTAGAACAATTCCAGAATAACATAAGATTCTACAGGGGGAGGCAGATGAAATGAGAAAAGTTTTAGTAAGTTATCTGCACATACTACATTTTCAGTACTTTTACAAAGAAAAAAGATCTGTTTAATTTTAACATTTTGATTGGCTGATTCATGCCCTAATGTGGCTTCAATGTCTGAGTCATTCCTGGCTTAAATGAATACTTGTAGTATTTGTATCGTAAAAGTGCCATATATTTTGTCCTGATGACTGTGATGCACTGAGAAGTTAGTTTCTTTGGTTTCTTTCTTTCTTTCTTTCTTTCTTTCTTTCTTTCTTTCTTTCTTTCTTTCTTTCTTTAATTTTGTTTTGGTTTTTTGGTTTTCATTTGTTGTCTTGCTCATGAAGTTTGTACAATCTGGTTAGCCACCCTAAAATGATTTAAAACTTTAGAATGCCATGTGTTTCTTATTTGATAATCTTCATCAATTGTACTGCATTTAATGAATATTAAACAGTGCATATTCCATACACTATAGGGTTTAGACTGTGTTTGTATTTTATAATTTGCGTAGACTGAGCTGACTGAAATAAGATTTTTGATCAGGTATTCAGAAGAGAATACAAGACAAATGCAAAACTGTATAGGTGTTTAAAGCTTTTCTGCTGGTAAAAAAAAAAAAAAAAAAAAAAAAACTACAGCTGCTTTTGCCATGCCTCCCTCCCCCACCCAAGAGTGATGAGTGCTGAACAAGACTGGCGTATTGTAGAGATTCTGATAAGTGGTACGTAAAATGCTGATTAGATAGTATTGTAAAATGCTGATTAGATAGTATTTCTAGTCACTTATCACTATGGACTGGAAGTTAACTCTTAATGCTAAGCTGTCTCTAGCAGTCTTCAAAAAGCATATACACTTCTGCATATAAGAGCAAAACAGATTCAAGGTCATGCTTGCTAATTTCAGATGCCACAGTGTAGCAGGGAATGAACATGTTTTCAGTCCTTTAATTCTAAAATTTCTGAAGACCAAATAGTGACTCCTTAACCTGTTTATCAGAGGATTAGGAACTGAAGTTTAAGATTCTTGGGTTCTTGTCGTGGAATTGTCCTGCAGCTTTATCAGTCCCTCTAGATTTAGATTTGAAAATTTTCAACACTGGTGGTAATGTGATCGATAAGCATGGGCATGTTCCATGTTCTTCTCTGGTTGCCTGTCTGCTCTGTCACATTCAGACACTTAACCACCATAATTAAGCAGAGTCAGGTATGACCAATGCACCAAGTTTAGCATAGGTAATGTAGTCATTTGTTCTGTGCCTATCAAAACTTCACTAGAATCATACTACAAATAACTTTTGATTTGAAACTATTGAGATCTATTAAATTTTTCAAAATCACCACGGTTAACCTACTGTAGAATAGTACAGGCTTCATCTAGTCTGTATGTAACTGGTTCAAGTTTGATGGCTGTCTATATTCAACCGAGTATGTATATATAAATGAGAAAATACATCTCTATCCAGACCTAAATGTTAAGAGCTTTTTTTTTCTTCCTCCTACTGTATAATTTGTAGCTCATCTTTTTTCTTTAATCCTTTCATAAGTTGTTGGAACAGTTTGAAGTTCCCAAATATTTATGTTTAGACAGATGGCTCAGAATATATATTTAACATCACTAGCTGTATATATTTTTAAAGTAAAATAAATAATGGAAAGGGACTTGATATACAAGTTTATTACTAAAATTTCAACTGTGTGAAGATCCATTTTAAGATATTACTTTGCTAATAATCATAACATTCTTTTTTCTATTAAAGAAACAAATGGTTTGTGGTTCACAGCTTTCTTCCTGACTTGATAATCAACTTTGAAAATACAGCGAAATTTTATTTGAAAGGTTTCATTTAGATCTCTGTACATCCATTTTTGCTTTGGTTTGTAAATGTGTAACATTTATAGTTAAGTAGGACAAAGCAGACCCTATGACTATTGTTTTAAAAAGTTAAGCAAGTTAATATATAAATAATTCAAAGGGGGTTTTCATTTACTTTTGAAAAGAAAAATTTCTCTAAACAGATGTTGGTTCTGCAGGATTGCACCAATCAATTCTTGTAGAATAAAAATAATCTTTCAACAAACCAACTTCACTTGTCTCTGTCAGGATTTGTCTTTGTAAAACTCCTTACAAACTTGCAGCTTGGGATACAATTTGTAGCAAGAGAGTGTTTTGTTGTTGTTGTTGTTTTGTTTTTTAAGTAAGGCTCCACGCCCAGGGTGGCACCCAGCTCAGGGCTGGATCTCACAACCCTGAGGTCAAGACCTGAGCTGAAATCAAGAGTTGGACTCTTAACAACTGAGCCACCCAGGCGCTCAGAGAGAGTGATTTTTATTTGGTATTTCATTTAAACATCTCAGGGACTGGCTAAGAAAGATAAAGAAGAGGAATACCACCTTGAAACTACCTCCTTTTTAACCTTTTTGCATTTCTTACTGAAAGGCTGGGTGAATAGGAGTTAAGCCCTCAGTTCCTAAAAAGCCCTTTGTTTTCTTAAGGAAATTAACCTTAGGTTGTTTAATACCAAGTTTCCTCAAGCTTTTTTCTTTCCCTTCATAATGTAGTCGTAGGGGACATTCTGGTTCCTGGCCAAAATTCAACAAAAGTAGCAGAGAAGTACCAGTAAATATAGGTTAATATTTATTGAATGCTTACCATGTGTCAGGTGCCGTGCTAAGTATTTTACCTGTATCCACACATTTCATCTTTGCAGTAATCTTGTGAATTAAGGATATCCTCATTTCATAGATGAGGAGACAGAGGCATAAATGGGTTAAGGAGCCTTCGTACACCTCAGTAATGAGCAGAGCCAGTGTGACCATAGCAGTCTGGCTCCAGAGCCTCTCCTCCAACCACTGCAGCACTGCCTTACAAGCACCAATTAAGGGTAAATCTCAGAAGGCTTAGCTATCTTGATTTCAGTATAGCTCAACAGAAGTTCAGGGCTTTGGCTTTGGAGTCACAGCCAAGTTCAGATTACAGTTGTGTGACCTTACACAAATGATTTTAACAACTCTATTTCTGTTTATCACTAAGGTAATATCTACTATAATGAGAATCAAATGAGGTGTTTATGAAACAGGATCAGTGCCTATCAAATATAAGCACTTAATAGCTATATTTTTCTCATGGGTCAAATTCTAGTCTCTTGATCTTTAGTTTCCAAAGTTTTTACTGTAGGTTCTATTCATATGTCTCTTAAGTAATATGTAACACAAACGTGAAAGCATTCATCGATCATGTACTCAATAGTCTGCTAGAAGTTTCAAAAATGATTAAGATAGTCTTGACCACCGGGAACTTAGTTGAGGGAGACAGGATAGCTCTATGAGCAACTTATATTCCATAAGTAGTGAAGCGGAATCGACTGGGAGAGTCTTTAGACATTCTAGGATGCTAGATGTGAAAGAGAATATATGGATCAGAAGACTTACTCCCGAGAAAGGAGTTTAACATTGTCTCCTCATAGGGGAACCCGTGGTTGTCTCGCTAGGCCAGTGATTAAGTGGATTAATCTCTAATTCAGGGATATGGACTATTAGCCAGTCTCCATTGCTACATATTGAAAAAAACTGTTCTTTAATTTTGTTAATAATAAAAGTGATGTTTGATCAAACTTCTCTGTCATGGTTGTTTCCCGATTCTGGGGGAAAATACAAGGATGTTATCTGTAAACTAGCAAATGTGCTGTCTTTCAGCTCCCATTTCCCCATTTTATCCATAAGATATTAGAAGTGATCATATTACTCGCTGGAATCAAGATATATAGAAGTAACACTCGTCTGGCACAATCTGTTTTAGTGATGTTAATTACTAGTGATTACTATTCCTTTAAAAAGAAAAGGTAACACCAGAATTTGAGAATTAATGGTTCAAAGAGTAAAATCCACTCAATCCCACCATCCACCTAGATGTATTTTGGTTACTTTTAATAGATACTTAAAAGAACTGGTTTTATATTCCCTGAATCAAATTTTAAACATAAAATTGTGAAATTGACATAATACAGAAGTTATTAAATATGTATAATTTAAAGAGAACATAAAGCACACGTTCATATAACCAATGCATAGGTTAAATGCGACATTGCCAGCACCATAGAAGGCTTCTGTGTGTCCTTTCTTGATCACATCCCTGAACTTCCCCACTAGACATAGCAATGTTTGGCTGGTAATAGAAATAATTTTCTTATTTTTTTTTTGTATTTTTATCAGTTATGTGT